AAGTGGCCCCTTGTCTCTTGTCATATGTCTGACTCTCTTGCAACTCCATGAATTGTAGCCCACCAGGCTTCTCTGTTCATGGGATCTCCCAGGCAAGAATACTGGAGTGGGTTGCCATTTCCGTCTCTAAGGGATCTTCCTGATTCAGGGATCAAATCCATGTCTTCTGCTTTGACAGGTGGATTCTTTACCACTGAGCCATCTGGGAAGCCCATCAAGTGGCCCCTTAGTTATCTACAAATGTGAAGTCTAATTACACATAATTCTAGTGTTTCCATTTAGTGTTTGGAGGCTATCTTTAAGGAGTCTGAGGTTTTCTGCCACTTTTCCTGCTGACAGAGGGAGAAAACAGAACATTTAACTTCTACACTAGTATCATATGTAGTAGTTTTATTTTGTAGTTATCCCTTCACGTAATTATAGACAACTTTCAACAAGCCCTTAAAAAATTCATGTTATGAGTTTCTGTTAATAAACAGAATATAGAAAATATTACAATATGTAAAACTTCTTTACCAAAAATACATTCAATGACTCCTTTTAAAAAGCAAGCTTTTCTTGTACATTATTAAAGAATCACAGACCTTCATGGGTCTTTTATGGTCATCTTTATAAATAAATTGAGATGTGATATATTCCTTTCAAAAGAATAATCATTATTATTTCCACCCACTGTTTTCACCCAGTAAGATCTATGTAGCCATAATAAAGAACAAGAACATTCTATATGAACTGAAATGGAGAAATGCTCAGAATAGAATATGAAGTTGAAAAAGAAAGATGCAAGCTGATAGGTCTTAGCACCTCTAGATGTGGCACAACCAGACAATTGTGATGGAGTTAGCACCAGCTGTGTGTTCTTGCCAAAGAATTAAGCCTGAATCTAACCAAATCTCTAGAGCTAAGTTACATTTATAGGAAATACAAAGAAAAGAGGAATACTTTATATGAAAAGACACAAGGAAACAAACCCAGAATGTGGAATAGTACATTGTTTTGTACAACTTGTCAATGACAGGGTGAAAGGAGGGAAGACTGGCCTTGATTAAAAGACACTTAAGGGTTATAACCTGTGGAGGAGGAAATGGCAACCTACTCCAGTATTTTTTTTTTTTTGAAGGTTCTCAGGATTTATTTAAGCATATTTTGGGGCTAGTATGTACCATTGCTGAGTTATTTTTATCTTGGTGAATGACACCCTCATTCACATTGTTACTGAAGCCCAAAACTTGAATGTCATTATCTACTCCTCCCTTTCACTTACCGCTCTGGTCCCATCTGGTCTTGCTTGTTCTACATCTCACATAGAGCTTGGAAGCAATTTTATTCATCTTCACAACTGTGTGGACCACAACAACCTCTGGAAAATTCTTGAAGAGGTGGAATTACCAGACCACCTGACCTGCCTCTTGAGAAATCTGTATGCAGGTCAGGAAGCAACAGTTAGAACTGGACATGGAACAACAGACTGGTTCCAAATAGAGAAAGGAGTACGTCAAGGCTATATATTGTCACCCTGCTTATTTAACTTATATGCAGAGTACATCATGAGAAATGCTGGGCTGGAGGAAGCACAAACTGGAATCAAGATTGCCAGGAGAAATATCAATTACCTCAGATATGCAGATGACACCACCATTATGGCAGAAAGTGAAGAAGAACTAAAGAGCCTCTTGATGAAAGTGAAAGAGGAGAGTGAAAAAGTTGGCTTAAAGCTCAACATTCAGAAAACTAAGATCATGGCGATCTGGTCCCATGGTTTCATGCAAATAGGTGGGGAAACAGTGACAGACTTTATTTTTGGGGGCTCCAAAATCACTGCAGATGGTGACTGCAGCCATGAAATTAAAAGACGCTTACTCCTTGGAAGGAAAGTTATGACCAACCTAGATAGCACATTAAAAAGCAGAGACATTACTTTGCCAACAAAGGTCCATCTTGTCAAGGTTATGGTTTTTCCAGTGGGTAGGTATGGATGTGAGAGTTGGACTGTGAAGAAAGCTGAGTGCCAAAAAATTGATGCTTTTGAACTATGGTGTTGGAGAAGACTCTTGAGAGTCCCTTGGACTGCAAGGATATCTGACCAGTCCATCCTAAAGGAGATCAGTCCTGGGTGTTCATTGGAAGGACTTGATGCTGAAGCTGAAACTCCAGTACTTTGGCCACCTCATGCGAAGAGTTGACTCACTGGAAAAGACCCTGATGCTGGGAGGGATTGGGGGCAGGAGGAGAAGAGGCTGACAGAGGATGAGATGGCTGGATGGCATCACCGACTTGATGGATATGAGTTTGAGTGAGCTTCGGGAGTTGGTGATGGACAGGGAGGCCTGGCGTGCTGCGATTCATGGGGTCACAAAAAGTCGGACACGACTGAGCAACTCAACTGAACTGAAGACGTCATTATTAATTTTGTCTTATGTGATAATAGTAATTAGCAGAGTGTCAATTTTTAAAAAACAAGATGCACATTGACGTCTGTAAGGGTGAAATAACATGACATATGGGATTTGTTTTAAGAGAAAAGTTTGATAATTTTGAATTTGTGTATTGAGAGTGTACTATTCTCTCTGCTTTTGATATGTCAGAAAATTTATATAAAATAGTAAATGGAAAATGCAAATTGTAAAATGTGTTATGATATGCTTTTTTGTCTGAAAAAGGGAGAAATAAGAATATATACTCTTATTTGCTTTTGTTTGCATTGGGAGGATACACAAAAGATTTATGAAAACAGAAACCTATAGGGTGGGTGGGGGAAACTGGTGAACTTGAAAGGGTGAAAATGAAGCTTCTCAATATAAGTTTTTTATATTGCTTTAAACTTTAGCCATTTGGACGTGTTGCCTAAACAGTTAAAAAAAATCAAGAAATAAAAGTTAAGTGAAAATGACAATAGTCAGAAAAAGTCCTGCATACACAGAGAAAAAGAAAGGGGTTAGAGTAGATTTCTAGACGCCTTCATGTCTAGACTTCAATGAATTAATACATTGTTAATTTTTTTCTAAAGCCTGACTAGTAAGTAATTTCATTTTAAAAATAATTTTATTTATTTATTTAGGCAGTCCTGGGTCTTATATGTGGGCTTATAGTCCTGCTGCTATATGTGGGCTTAGTTGTTCCACAGCATGTGAGATCTTCCTAGACTATGGGGATTGAACCTGTGTTTCCTTCGTTGGCAGGTGGATTCCCAGGAAAGTTTCAGTTGTTAAACTTTTATTAAGTTGGATCCAGTAGTAATTCTAGAGATGGATAGAGGACACAGTAATAATAATAAGAAACAAAACAAACCAAAATCAGAACACAAAATGTGAGGCCTTTTAAGAGTTTTGCTTGGACTCATGCATACTGTTAGTAAATCTAACCTCTGACCCCATGTTTAATCAAATCTACCTTACACTCGAATATATACATTTGCTTGTTGTTATTAAGTATGTGAGTAAGTATTAAGTAAGTAAGTATGTGGGCAGACATAGTAAGGGCAAATATGAAATTTGTGAAACATAGTTTACAGCGGGAAAACAATCTGGTTCTTAGGGAAACTCGTGTTCTTGCTTGAAATGAACAGTCACACACCTTTGGGCAAATTGGTCTTTTCAGGTCTCAGTTTCCTTGTCTATACCATGAAAAAATTGAAAAATGATCTCTTTCAATTTTCAAAAAATTGAAAAATGATCTCTTGAGTCACCACTAACGTTGTGGCACTATAAAGGTACACACACAGAATAAGCTGGATATTTATAGTAAATGCAGTTAGTAACGTTTAAAGTGAGTGACAAGGAAATTCAGGCACAGAAGACAGAGGAAGACCACAGGGTTTTCAGAAACTATTCCATCTGAGAGCTCACTTCCCTTTTATAAGTAGATGTTTGCTTTTAAGATTTCCAGACAAAAATCACTCTCCCAGAGTTGAGACTGTTTGAGTCTGTGATGTTAACCTCAGTAATGGAGAGTGTGGTTCAACACTTTCTGACGATGCCCAAAGCCCCTGGGATGGAAGGAGAGGGGACATCTAGTGTATATGAGAGGAAATAGAATATCGAGGTGCCCTCAGTTCCCCCAACAGGAGGGGGAAAGAATCATTGCAGGAAAGAATGCATTTTTCCTTGGTGGAAGAGTTTTGAAAGTTCAGGTCAAAGTCAGAATATTAGAGCAGCTATGCATATATCACCTAACACAATTTCCTCATGTTATAAATTTTATAAATGGGGAGGCCAACCTAGTAAGCTTATATGACATAGCTCAGTTTGTATTAGAGCAAGGCTAAGAATTAGTTTCATGATTGGAGTAGAAAGGGCACCTAAATGTGAGGATAAGGAACAGGCCAGGGATTTCCCTGGCAGTTCAGTGGTTAAGAATGCACACTTCCAATGCAGGGGGCATGGGTTCGATCCCTGGTTGGGGAACTAAGATCCTACAAGTCACATGGCATGGCCAAAAAAAATAAAGAAAGAATCTGGCCATTCATTCATGGTGGTATTTCCCAGCTCCTAGTCCAGTTCCTGACAAATAGTAGATGCTTCATAAACATTGGTCACAGGACTCACCAGCTGACTGACTTGACTGATGAATGTACGAGTGATATATTTCTACCTGTGTTCCCAGTGAACACTGGCCATTTCAGACAGAGGACTGTTATTTCGCTGGAGATAGTGGAGGGCTCACTCCACTTGCCAAGAGACACTTGACAGAGTAACACTTTTCTTCCTCTGAGTATTGCTTCCTCTTCGTTGATGAGGACAGGGTAAATGTCAGTCTTCACAGGATGTGTGTGGTCTAGCATGAGGGAGAACTAGCATTTCCTTTGCTGTCATCGTAGATGATGGTGTTAAGAGAGAAGTGATTGGTGGTCAAATGCCTGCTGTGCTGGGCCAGCAGTCTGGAGAGTGGCCACTGTTCCTGTGACTTGGGAGGAGAGACAGTTTCAGGAAATACTCAGTTCGATAGGAGAATTAAAACGGCACCTAAACAGAGCCTTTGTTTGACTTTCTTCTTCAGAACCCATGTTTTTACATCTGTTTTTTGACTGTGTCCTGCTCATGCTGCTACTGCTTACAAGTAAGTCTGGATTTTTGCAGTTGGATAGTGCAAGATAAAGATGCAAGGATGGTCATTGTAATAAGCAAAAGTTTGGAAGCAACCTAAATGTCCACCAGCAGAGTAGTGGGTAAAGAAATTGTGATATATCCATGATACAAATAGCAAAGCTGATGAAACATAATGATATGAGATGTCTTTAAATCATAATGTTAATTGAAGAAAGCAAGGAACAGAAAAATGGATATATTGGACTTGTTTTTGTGTATGTCACAGGGGAGTGGGAATACATGAATGCTTCTCTGGGAAAGGGAGCTGGGAAATGGAAAACAGCAGGGTATGGGAGAGTTTTCATATACTTTTTATACTGCTTGAATATGTGTGTATATTAATGTGTAGTTTATATAAATTTTAAACCTCAGAACAGCCATACATTAACTTCTTATTCAGCCAAGGGTTTTTATTCGTTATGTGACTGGTGCTTGATTAAAAAAAAAAAAGAAGGAGAGAGAGTTTTGTGTTACGATAACTGCCCTGAGTTTGTGAATAGACGACTAACCTAAATGGGTGAGCTCTTTTCCTGTCTGACAGTGACCCACTGCTGATTATCTGTTTCCATCAGCAGTGCCCTTCGATGTTCACAGGACCAGGCCATGATTCTCTCCTGGGGCACTGGTTCTCAAAGTGAGGTTCTAAGATGAACCATATCCTGAGCGTGTCCTGGGAACTTGTTAGAAATACAATTCTTGGGCCCCACCTGAGAGCTATTGAATGGGGAACTCTAGCAGTTGAGCCCAGCTATCTGTTTGAACAAGGCTTTCTGGTGATTCTGCTGCCCCTTGAGTCTGAGAATCATTGCTATAGTGAACTCTTCTCCAAGCAGGATAGCAGCAGTGGTTTCCTGTTTATTCTGCAAAGCATTGCTTGCAGTTTTCTTGAAATGGACCAACCTCTCTCACTGCTCTCTTTCCCTCTTTATGCAGGTTCTTTGAAAGGGGCATATGTGTCTCAGGTGGGTCAGAATGCTGATCTGCCCTGCACCTACTCTCCAGCTCCCACTGAGAATCTCGTGCCTGTGTGCTGGGGCAGGGGACCCTGCCCTGTGTTTGAATGTTACAGTTTGGTGCTCAGGACTGATGGAAGGAATGTGACCTTTCAGACGTCCAGCAGATACCTACTAAAGAGGGATTTGCACAAAGGAGACGTGACCTTAACCATAAAGAATGTGACTTTAGCTGACAGTGGGACCTATTGCTGCCGGATCCAATTCCCAGGGCTAATGAATGATCGAAAATCAAACCTGGAGTTGATCATCAAACCAGGTGAGTAGACTTTTGCATACCTTCTTTCTGAGTGAGATTTGCCTATGGATCATATTAAATATGCTGACTGATCTCACCTTTGGTCTTCCCAATTACAGCCCTCCAGTTGGATCCCTAAGACCTAAAGTTTAACAGATCCAACCGTGTTTAATTCCCTCCATCTGTTTTGAACCTCATGGCCATAGAATGAAGGAAAGTGTTAGATTAGTGGTCTGAGTACCTGGCTGGTCATTGGAATCACCTGGGGAGCCTTTTGACTCCCACAGATGCTTGGGCGCCACCCCTAAACCAGGGAAATCAGCATTTCTGGAGGTGGATGGAGCCTGAGCATGGGAGTTTTATTAAGTCTACCCCCAGTGATTCTCTCTCATGTGCAGCCAGGATTGAGAACCACTGGACTCTGCATGTGTGGGGGAGAGGGGGCACGTATGCTTTCATGTTTTAATGCTTATAGAACATGTACTTAGTGGTTGATGGAGCTAAGTTCAAATTTAATACTGCTTCTTTCCAGCTGTGTAATCTTGGTCAAGTTACTTAAACTCTGTGACCTCTTCCTCTCTAAAATATAATACTATCACCCTAGAGGCCACTGGGAGGATTTTATGACATGTTTTGTGGAAAGCATTTACTATGGCTGTAAGCTTTATTATTAACAATTAGACTGTGATAATAATGATGTAACACATCTCTGTCAGACACTCTGAGTGTCATATACTCTCAACGAAGGTGTTCAGGTAGGTTTGGAAGTTTAGCATGTGTATCTCTTCTATTGTTGTGTTTACAATTTTTTTCTGTTGCCGCTTTTCTGCTCTCAGAGAAGCCTCATCCTTACGTTGGTTTCTGACTTTAGCCAAGGTCACTCCAGCTTGGACTCCATGGAGGGACATCACTACAGCCTTTCCAAGGATGCTCACCACAAAGGGACCTGTCTCAGGTAATTACACATGGTGTTTAGGAGGAAACCTTTAGTTGGTTTCTGAGTTCAGAGGATTTAGAATACGGGGAAAATATGAGAAAATAGTTTGAGTGGAGGCACGAATATTTCTGTGCATCCAAGATAGTGACATAGGTAAGGAAGGGGTGAAGGTAAATTTATGCTGGGAAGAAAGAGCCCCAGGCTGGGATTCTGAATTAGTCATGAACAGCCCTCTACCTGAGCCAAAGCCTTTCACTTCTCTGGATAGCAGCTTCCTCTTCTGTCTGAGGAATGAGTTCAGAGACTTGGATTTCACCACCTAGTAATTCACCTGACTCCTGAAAAAGATTTTTGATGAGCTTCGTATTTTGCCAAACAAGGGAAAAAAAGATTTCTACTTTCTACTATTGACATCCCCCTGTTTAAAAAAAAAAAGAGGATACTCTTATATAAGTTTAATGAAAAACTCATTATGTTTCCTTATTATTTTCTGATTTACTCCTGTACGGATGATATTTTGTCATGTATTGGCCCCAGTTCATGTTTGGGATAATTTGGATTAGGCTATTCCAAGAGTTACTTCTAAAGTCTATCATCTTCCTCAGATTCTGACCTCAGAAGGAGCAGCTAAATCCTTCAAGTATTTCAACAAGTATTTTCCACAGTGCTCTAGAAAGAAGATAGGGTTGACAGAGCAGACCTCAAGTCACATTGATCAGGGAGGAGTCCTGGTCTCTCTAAACTCTCCAAAGCATAGTCTTTGATTCTGTAAAATGAGGTTGTTGTTGTTGTTGTTTAGTTGCTAAGTCACGTTTGACTCTGACGACATGGACTGTAGCCCATCAAGCTCCTGTCCATGAAATTTCCCAAGCAAGAATACTAGAGTGGGTTGCCGTTTCCTTCTCCAGGGGATCTTCCAGACCCAGGAATTGAACTCATGTATTCTGAATTGGCAGGTGGATTCTTTATGCTGAGCAACCAGGAAAGCCCTAAAATTTAATAATAGGTAAATTCCAAATCCTAATCTGTTAAATCTCTCGGATTTAAATAAGGAAGTGTGTCTAAAGTGCTTAGCTCAGAGTCTGATCTTGGTACATACTCAGTACATATTAGTTATTGTCATTTTCAGTAAGATCTAGAGGCAGAATGAGATTGCAGTTAAGTACTACTTCAGTGATGGGCTTCCCAGGTGACTCAGTGGGTAAAGAACCTGCCTGAAATGCAGGAGACACAAGAGAAAGGTTCAGTCCCTGGGTCAGGAAGATTCCCTGGAGAAGGACACGGCAACCCACTTCAGTATTTTTGCCTGGAGAATCCCATGGACATAGGAACCTGGCAGTCTAAGGTCCATATGGTTGCACAGAGTTGGACACAACTGAAACAACACAGCACAGCACAGCACTTCAGTGATAGGCAGAATGGGTTCTAATCTCAGCTTTTTGTGTAAGTTTTATAAACTCAGTTTTGTTGCTCAAACTCTGTGAGGCTCAATTTCCTTACCTCTATAATAAGGTTAATTTCCAGTGCCTGAGTCATAAGACTATTGTAAAGATTGATGTGATGACATATGAAAAGCACTAAGCATAATGCATAATGCCCTGCCCAGAGAAAGCACTCAAATATTAGTTATTTTAAATATTAATGTCAGTTCTCTAGAGGTTGAATTTTTTTGTTGGTTCTTTAGTCACTGGATACCAACATCTCTCATGCAATTAGTAAGGAAATTAAATATGGTAGAAACAGATGATCAACCCAATAGTGAGCTAATCGAATCATACCAAGTGTTTATCATATGTCATTGTTATATTTTAAAGAATTCCACGACTGTAGACCTTGAAGGGGATGGTGGGAATCCCACTTACCCATCATGGGTTTCAGTGCTCTTTAGAACGTCACGCCCAAGTGGACATTTGTTGTGTGACCACACACCTTCCCAGATAGAGAAGTAGCTTTCTCACAAGGCAGTGCACATTTTTTGAGGTGTCTGTACCATAACCAGAAGTGGCCTTCACTTCAGGTTTTACTTGTTTGTTCCTTCCCTTTAGGGCAACAGAATGGGTCCATCTTTTGCACCTGGGAATATAGGCAGAGTTCCTACAATCTCTGAGCTTTTCAAAGGCCTGAGAAAATACTTAAACACAAAAAGGCAATGGCTCCAAACTTCGGAAATAAAATGAAAAGTTGAAATTAATTAGTATCTAATGGTATGACTATAATATGTAACATTATACCAGTTAATTACCTGCAAGTCAACTTGTGTGTAGTTGTACACACCCTTTCTTTAATATGGAATGTGGGTACATATAATATACTTGCTATAAAGTGGAGAGGATCCTTTACAAAGTAAGGGTTCCAAGGGTCTTTGAAGTTCCTAAACCAACTTTGAACATTGGACAAATGAAATCTCTCTTCCACCTGAAGAAGGCAGGACTGGATCACAGATGAATCCTTAGCTCTGGAAGTACACTTGATTTGAATCTCGGGTTCTCCAGTTAATAGCTATGCGATCTTGGACAAAATACCTCTCTGAGACTTCTTCATTTGAAAAATGGGAAAGTAATAGTACTTTGCGCACAGTGACTGCAGCCATGGAATTAAAAGATGCTTGCTTCTTTGAAGAAAAGCAATGACAGCTCTAGACAGTGTTTTAAAAAGCAGAGACATGACTTTGCTGACAAAGGACTGTATAGTCAAAATGGTTTTTCCAGTAGTCATGTATGGATGTGAGAGTTGGACCATGCAGAAGGCTGAGCGCCAAAGAACTGATGCCTTTGAAATGTAGTGTTGGAGAAGACTCTTGAGAGTCCCTTGGGCAGCAAGGAAATCAAACCAGTCAGTCCTAAAGGAAATCAACCCTGCATATTCATTGGAAAGACTGGTGCTGAAGCTCCAATACTTTGGTCACCTGAAGTGAAGAGCTGACTCATTGGAAAGACCCTGATTTTAGAAAATACTGAGGACAAGAGGAGGGGTTACAGAGGATGAGATGGTTGGATGGCATCACTTACTCAATGGACATGAATCTGAGCAATCTCATGGAGATAGTAAAGGACAGGGAAGCCTGATGTGCTGCAGTTCATGGGGTTGCAGAGTCGGACATGACTTAGTGATTGAACAAGAACAACGTTGTGGTGAAGATGAAAAGATATTGTGCATGTAAAGTACTAAGCACTGTGTCAGGCACCTAAAACATGCTAGATGGTAAATATTAAGCTTGTGTACTTTTAAGATCATCAACCTGCTCCCCCAGTCTTGGGTCCTCTAGGAAACACACTGTAACTTCCTTCATCTGTCCCACCCATCTTGGTTGATAACAATCTATGTGAAAATAAGCTGTGATAACCCAATAGTGCTCTAGTTTATAGATCATTTTCACTGTAAAATGAAGTTAAAAAAAAAAAGCTAGAAGCCAGACAGTCTTACCATTTAAGCAAAGAAAAGTAATTGTAGGGAAGCAGAAACTAGATTTACACTAGAAAATATTGTATGTGTAGTTTACTTAGTAGTTCTACAAGTGTGGTTCTTAAATTCCTTTTTGTAATAGGAGCAAAAGTAAATGGCAGATAACGTCTTTCATTTTCTTAAAAAATGTGTTTAGGCTGAGAATATGCTTTTATAATATTAAAATCAGAGCCTGTATGCCAGGAGTTTTGCATTAAAAGGCTTAGACTTTGAAGCCTCCAGCAAGGACTGTGACATTTAGGCAATTTCAGAGCCTCTGGCTCAACCAGAAAAATGAGTTTGCATGCTTAATCTTCCCAAGGCTGATGATTTATTGGTTTTTAAAATGCATTGTTTATGAGATAAGGGCCTGTGCCCATCTTGTTCACTGTTCTGTCCTCTGTGCCTGGCATAGAGTGGGGATGTAATATATGTTCATTGAATGGATAGGCAGATAAATAAATAAATGCCTAAAAAGGAAAGAAAGTGAGCTGGGATCTGGGCAACATGATGAGCTTAGTAATCACAGTGCCGAGGTGAGCATTGTTGGAGGCAGCATAGTTAAGAGTGTGTACTGAAGACCATGCAGACCTAAATTGGAAGGCCATTTCTGTTATTCGCTAAGGTGTATGACCTTGGGTAAGTCATTTAGCTTCCTAATTCTCAGCTTCTTCCTCTGGATAATGGGACAGATAGTCCCTACTTTAAGATAGTTGTTTTGAGTGCTAAATGAGATACTTCACTTGAAGAATTTAACACAATGCCTATTCATAGTAAATTATAGTTACAGTTATTATTATTTTCATTTTTTAGAGAACAAAATACCCCCTCTCCTAATGAGTAGATGTTAAATGGTTTTGAGAAAATTAACTTTCCTTACCTTTCAGAGTCTAATCATGCCACAGCTTTATCCATTCATTTGTTGATGGACATCTATACAATGGAATATTACTTAGTTATAAAAACGAAATAATGCCATTTGCAGCAACATGGGTGGACTTTGAGATCATCATACTAAGTGAAGTAAGCCAGACAGAGAAAGGCAGATGTCATATCATATTGCTTATATATGGAATCTAAAAAAGATTCTACATCTGAACTTACTTACAAAACAGAAATAGACTCATAGACATAGGAAACAAACTGATAGCTACCAAAAGGGAAAAGGGTGAAGGAGGGATAAATTAGCAGTTCGGGATTAACGTATAAGAGGCATATCAGTTGGCCCTAGTGGTAAAGAATCCACCTGCTAATGCATGAGGTGCAAGAGATGGGGTTCAATCCCTGGATCAGGAAGATCCCCTAGAGTAAGAAATGACAACCCACTCTGGTATTCTTGCCTGGAAAAGTTCCATGAACAGAGAAGCCTGGCAGGCTACAGTCCATGAGGTCTCGAAGAGTTGAACATGACTGAGTGAATGAGCACACAGATATATGAAATAGATAACCACCAAAGATCTGCTGTATAGCACAGGGAACTATACTCAGTAAGTTGTAATAGCCTGTAAGGGAAAAGAATCTGAAAAAGAATATGTATATTCTGAATCACTTTACTGTATACCTGAAACTAACACGACATTGTAAATCAACAGTACGTCAATTAAAAAATGAACAAAATAAATATTAAAGAGCAGTCATTTGATCTAAAAAAGAAGTCTAATTATAATGCCTGCTTGTGTATTGTCAATGTTGTTAGAATTTTGCAGACCCTTTTAGGTCCTATGGACACAACAAACCACATATTCAAAATATGTCTTCCCAGAAGAAGTCTCCATTTCATAGAACATAGGTAGTTTGGTTTGTTATCTGGGTGAAAAAATGTGGTCATCCTAGAGTTGATTTGTAAGTGTTCAATAAATTCTGTTGGTTTCTCAGTTAATTATTGTGAAGAGTATGAAGTAGAATTAATTTCAAATAGAATTATAGGCAGCTTAAAAAAAAACCCAACAAACTGCATATAAAAGAGTGTTTCTAACTGTTTTGGCTATTTTTCTTCTTTGTGGTAGAGACACAGACACTGGAGACCCTCCATAATAAAAATCAGACAGTAAGTAACTGTGTGTGAGCTGAGCTCATGCTCAACTCAAAGAAAAAAAAGTATGACTTTAGACTTCCTTCCTGTCCACTCTTTTCTTGGGGAAAAAATGCCTAATCTCCCTTGGCTTTGGGTTCCTTGACTATAACATGTTGCTGATGACAATTGTAACTGCAGAGGCCTGTTGTAAGGATGGAATGATATGATGCATATAAAAGTGCCTGGCACATAGTAGGTGCTGGAAAACCAAAAGGAAGAAGCACTAGCATTTTGTTCTTATCCTGAAATTTCACAACTGTATATTACTGTGGAGGGTTCAGACACCCTGAATCTCCTGAGAGTAGTGTTTTTCCTTGTTAACATTTCTACCCTAATGAGAAAGATTGTTTGTTTGTTGAAATTTAGTTATTTATGATAAGGCACCAGTCAGGAATATTCTACGGTAAGAACTTACATATCTAACTAAAAACAAAGCAGTATTTCAGTCAACCACCATTTTAATGTCTCCCACCTTCTCAGAGTGAAAGGGAAAACCACTAGAAAACAATCTGATAGCAATGACTGGGAAATTGTTTGAGGATACACCCGGGAGTCTGCATTCATTTGTCTCAATCTGACTCACTCTCAAGTATTTTGTGTTTGTCCTGCAGTCTTTGCAATCCAGGACTGCCTTTTAAATACCTCTTTGTGCCTCACTGCTTAGGGCACGTTTGCACAGTGCACTTGCAGTATATGTGTGTTGAATAAATGGAGGACTTAATTGCTTGATGTTGTTTTAAAAGTGTTTGCTGTTACTCTTTTTAAAGGGGGAACATGAACTGAGCTTTTAGAAGCAGGATGTAGAGCAATAGCAATAAAAGCTACCATTGACTGAACATTTATCCTGTACCAGGCTCTGTGCCAAGCGTTTTCTGTTTCTTGTCACTTAATTTTCCTGATAACTTTACAAGATGGCTCTGCTCTTTGGTGATAGAACTGGGATTTGAACCCAAGACTGTCAGGCTGCAAATTCCTAGCTTTTAAATCACTATCTTTCTGTGGAAATTGGGGCTTCATGGCACAACATCAAATTTAGACCTCTCTGAAACTCCCTGGAAACATGAGGGAATCTTACATAAATAGTGTTCCACTTTAATGTTCATTTTTGTTGGGGATATTGGGAGTCTATTTACTAAGGCTACTTCTCCACCCATAGCACAGACAAGCATATCTTATTCTCTTGCTAATTCTAAAACTTCAGCTAATCTCTTTGGGTGGTTTGAAGCTTGTCTAAAAGGGGACAGATCGTGAGTCATTTCAAGGTCCCTGCATTCTTGGGACACTGTGAAAGGGCTGGTCTGATGCATAAATTGTGAGATTACCTGGGCAGACAATGGGTTTCTGGCCATTTGCTGTAATTCTGTTTGCGTTTCCATAGGAAATATCCACACTGGCTACTGAGTTACAAGATATGAGTGCCACCACCACAACAGGCCTCTACATAGGAGCAGGAGTCTCTGCTGGGCTGGCTCTGATTCTTATCTCTGGTGGTTTAATTCTCAAATGTAAGTATTTGATGGTGTGTCTCTCTCCCTATGATAAGGAACTGTTAATATGGGAACCAACCCCAAACTAGATATTATAATTATTAGATTGTATCGATTAGAATGAATACTCTTTAGTCCTTTCAAACCACAGGATTAATAATAGCCCGTTTTTAATTAGTGCTTACCATGTCACAAGCATGTTTTTATTTATCATGGTCACCATCTTATAAGGTAGGTGGTACTGTTATCCCCACTTGTTACAGCAGAGGAGAGTAACACTTAGAGACGGTAAACTTTCAGGGTTTTCTTGAGGTTTCAGAATCAGTAAGTGGCAAAGCTGGAATTCAGATTCAGGCAGGTTGATTCTAGCACCTGTTTTCTAATTTTGTAAAGAACATGAATCTTTTAAATTCATGAATCAGCAATCACTTCCTTCTGTGCACTTTCTATCTTATTTATCTGTTAGGTGTGGTTCTTTAAAGAGGGGCAGCAGGTTCCTTTAACACTGGGTCATGGTCAAGGTTGCAGCATTTGTTATTTTCCTCCATTGTGGCACTCAGCAAACATTTTACTTCTCAGTTACTTATGCTTATTTAAAAAAAATAATTATAATTTATATGCGATAAACTGTATATTTAAAATGTGTCCAACTTAATGAACTTTTGTAGATGATTTCACTCAGGAAACCATCACCACAATCAATGACCAAACACTTCCATCAATCCGGAAGCCTCACGGACTTTAATAATTGTGATATATTCTCTTCTCTTTGGGGCAGAGGCCAAGGCCTTATACCTCTATTATTTTAGTAGCCTTTCTTACTCATCCGTAAACATCAACTGTGTGTAGGATTACAAATGATTCCGAAACTTCCCAGGACTGAAGAGGGGGTCCGAATATGTGGGTTTTCAGTGCTAAAACTGGGACAGTCCAGGGAAAACTGGGATGAGCTCCTCATCCTGTGTGGCTTAAAGCTTCCAAATGCTTTATGTTCATGAAATCCTCATAATTACCCTGTTGAAAAAGGTACTAATATTCTCATTTACCAGTTGGAGAGCCATTGTGTTGAAAGGTTAACTAACGTTTAGTCCAACGTGACACTGTTAATTGATAAAAGGATTTGAAACCAGGGCTATCCTGCTTACCTTTTTGTTATTCTGCTGTTAATGGTAAATGAATTGTTTAGAGGAAGAAGCTACTCACTCCCACTTACCTGAGTTTATGGAGAGGTAGCAGTGGAGTTTGGGAATTGACCACATGAATATGGAGTCTACAGGTTGATAAGGAGCATTGATAACACCCACTTTTTCAGTTCTGCTAAGGCCTGGATGTTGGGACTGTTATGGTTTGTGTAAAAGGGTGTGGAAAGAGGTTGATGTGGAGTAGGATAAGTCATGTTTTGTACACACATGTGATTACTGCCAAAACTCAAAACATGACTACTTAGAAGAATAGATGGGAAAGTTGTGTACAATTTGCGGTCTTTTCCCTAGAAGCTGCTAGAGAAAATCACCCAACTGGGGTGACATGTTTTTAATCATGACATCAAAGCCATAAATTGGCACTAAGAAATGTGCAGCAATCTTGTATCTTCTTAGTGCAGTGGCTGAGATGAGCATCACATATTTCACTGCTGCTCAAACCTCCCTGCCTTCTCACTGCGCTGATGAAGTATTAAAAGCCTGTTTCAACTACTTTGCCATAGCCATCACTTCCTTCTCCCTTTGATCGTTTTCTCCGGAATCATCTCTCTCTCCATTCCTATTTGTGCTTTTTTTTATTAGTGTAAAAATAAGATCTATTTCACACATTCCCCTCCAGCTACTCCCGTTTCTCTCCTCTCCTTCACAGGCATATTTCTCAGATGAGTTATTCCTACATTTCATTCCTCTGTACTCTTCAAACATTCCCCCCCCCACCCCATTTAGCTTCTACACCTGAATTGCCATGGAAGTAGTTTTATTTCAAGCTCAGTGATCTTCATTTTGATAAACCCAGTAGATACCTCTGTCTTCAATGCAGTACATCCAGCTTTCAGTAATATTCAACTCAGTTGACCCTCACTCATTCCAAAGAAGTCTTCCTTCTCTTGACTTCTGAAGCACCACTCTCATTTTGGCCACTCCTTTTCATTCATTTTTATTATTTTCTCTTCTTCAGCATGATCTTTAGGTGTTGAGATATACCAGAGCTGGTGTTTTTCCTCTCTCCATACCCTCTGGTTGATGATAACCTATATTTCTATAGACTTAAATGTCATCCTTAGTTTCTGTCTTCAGCACTCAAGGGTGTTGGTACTGATTGTCCAGCTGTTCAGGTGTTATCTCCACTTATTTGTCTCTCACCTTAATGTGTCCAAAAAGGAGCTCTGGAGTCTATATTCCACCTTTTTAAAACCCTACGCCCCCCTTGCTGGGTCTTCATCATAGTGTTTCACTAGCATCCAACTGGTTGCCTGAGCTAGATAGAAGCCATCCTTGAATTCTCTCCTTCTTCACTCCTAACACACAGTCCCAACTACACACAATCCACATTCACGTCCTGCACTTTTCCCAAAACATATCTGAAATCCATTCATGATTCTGTGCCTCTCTATCACTGCCTTACTCTGAGGCAGTTCATGACTATGACTGACTGCTCTTTTTATCACACCTCCTTTTAGTTCATTCTCCACATAGCAACCAAAGTGATTTTCTTGAAACCCAGTTATATCACATTTCTGGCCTTCAGTTATTTCTTATGTCTTAGGATAAAACCCAAGCTCCTGATTATGACTTCTAGGGTCCTGTAGTATCTTGCCCAGCCTCCATTTCAGACCTCATCTTGTGCCACTCTTTTATTCCAGTCATGCTTTCAGTTTCAGCCACTTATCACCATCTTTACCAGGGCTTTACTCAATCCAGAATACTCACCCTGGTTCTTCATTTGGCTGACTCATTCTCTTCTTTCAGAAGTGAGCTTAAAGGTCATCTTAGTGGTATGTATCTGTTTTTTCCATACTCCTAATTTATCTCTCCTCCCCTTTTCCCTTTGGCAACCATAAGTTTGTCTTCTGTGTCTGTGAGTCTTTTCTGTTTTGTAAATAAAACTATTTGCAATGTTTTTAGTTTTCACATATAAATGACACAATATTTGCCTTTCTCTCTCTTATTTCACTCAGTATGATAATCTCTAGGTTAATACATTTTGCTGCAGGACTTTTCTTTCTGTCACATCACAGTTTGAAATTATTTTTTCTATTTACTTTTTTTCCTGAAATGCCTCCCCACTGGAAGACAAGCTTAATGATGTCAGGGCTCATAATTCATTTTTTGTGTCCCTCGTGCTTAGCATACTACCAGGTATGTAGTAGGCATTCCCTACATTTGTTAAATATGAAACACATCTTTATTACTTTCTACCACAGTTTATGTAATAAGCCAAGACACATATCAGTGGTTTGATGTAATTCAATCTTAACCGGTAGACCAGTTTTCCCTAAACAATCTGCCTCCAGTTAACCCGTTTTGTTTTTTATCTCATTTATTTTATTAAATCATTTAAAATTAACTTTTCTTTGCCTTTCTGCTTAGGGTATTCTGATAGAAAAGAGAAGATACAAAATTCAAGGTAAGAATAATGTGTAGGGGAGGAGAAGGTGGGAATCTTGGATGACCCTTCAGCTGATTGAGCACCTACTACACCCAGGTTCTAGGTGGCCATTGTTTCCAGAAGTGAACAAGAAGCTCAGAAATTACTCTCAGAGCTTTTTATAACCCAGCCAGGTTCTTCTTAACTCTTACTGCCTATTAGAATCACCTAGGGCACTTAAACATATTTGTCTACCCCAGAGCAAATGAATCAGAATCTTTGGGGATGAGGTCTCATCATAGTGAAAAAGTGAGAGTTAGTTGCTCTGTTGTGTCCGACTCTTTGTGACCCCATGAACTGTAGCCCACCAGGCTTCTCTGTCCATGGAATTCTCCAGGAATGAATACTGGAGTGGGTGGCCATTCCCTTCTCCAGGGGATCTTCCTGACTCAGGGATCAAACTCGGGTCTCTTGCATTGCAGGCGGATTCTTTACTGTCTGAGCCACCAGGGAACACTTAGTGTTCTAAACACTTTCTAGGTAATTGTAATGTACAAACAGAGTTGGAAACTGCTTGTCTATCATATTGCAGAGTTAGTCTCCATTCCTAATTATAGTACACTATACACACACAAAGCTTATATAGATTTTACTGGGTTTCTGTGACATTTGGTACATTGGCAGAATGAAATATTATTAAGAAAAAAAAGATTCTGTCCACTGAATACTATCTGAACCACTAGTAATTTTAGACTAAGTCTAAGTGGTGCTAGTGGTGAAGAACCTGCCTGCCAGTGCAGGAGACATAAGAGATGTAGGTTCACTCCATGGGTCGGGATGATCCCCTGGAAGAGGGCATGGCAACCCACTCTTGCCTGGAGAATCCCATGGATAGAGGAGCCTGGAAGGCTTCAGTCCCTAGGATCATAAAGAGTTGGACACGACTGAAGTGACTTAGCATTCACACACACTAGATGGTGTAGTTATGAATACAAAATAGTCTGCAGTAAAAAAGTCAAATAAGACCAAATAGAACATTTAATCATCATGTCTTTATATGATCTCTAACCAGTATTTATTAGAGCTGAAACCTGAAATGGTATATCATAGGTAATATTTACATTTACATGTACTACTAGTTCATTCTTTATGAAATTATTGGGTTAATGTTTTAAGTCTACCTATAAATGTAAACTCCATAGAAAATTAGGAACTTATCAGCCACATTAACAACTGTATCCCCTAGTGCACACCTGGTTCTTAGTACACACTTCATAAATATTTGAGGATTGAATGGATAAATGTTCCTTACGGCAGCCCTGTGAGAGAAAATTACTTCTTCCCATTGTATAGACGAGGACCCTAACACCTCAGTTTACTAATATACAGCCTCTAGGAGCTTTTTGTGTTTTGTTCACTGTTGTATCTCTTGATGCATGGGCTCAGTGTGTAGCACACTAAATAGTTCCTGAATGAATAGATGGAAAAGGCAAATCTGACTTAGCCTAGATCATATGGATGGTAAGCAACAGAGGTAGAATTCAAACTCAACTCTCACTGGATGCATAACACATTCCTTTTACTTTTTGGAATTGTTTAAACCCACATAATAATTGAAATAACAAAGCAATTTGAGCATGTTATTTGATATTTTGTCACATTTACTTTGTTTCTGTCTTTACTTATACAATTATGTTTTTTTCTGAGCCAGGTGTTTTAGATATCTTGACACTTCACAGCAACACTTTAGTCTGTAAATAAATATATTTTCTCAGAATAAGTATATTCTCTAAGGTAACACAATTCCACTTTTGTACTTAAGAAATTTCAGATTAGTTTGAATTTGTACAGAATATTCCCCAGACTATTTCATTGCTATTTTATGTTTTTCCCTTCCTAGTCAGGACCTGATCAAGGATCATATACTGCCTTGGTTGTTAACTCTTCAGCAAAGCCCGTTCTCTCAATTCTATTATATGTTGTCCAGAAAATGCTTAACTCAACTACAGTACTTTATTTCCACAGCCTCATCACTTTGGCCAACCTTTCTCCTTCAGGGTTGGCAAATGCAGCAGCAGAGGGGATTCACTCAGAGGAAAACATCTATATCATTGAGGAAAATGTATATGAAGTGGAGGATCCATACGAGTATTACTGCTCCGTCAACAGTGGGCAGCAATCCTAACAACCTCTGGGCCGCTGTCACCTTTCAATGCCACCAGATTCAGCCACTTCATTTTGGGGCTTGGTGTTGTCTTCTTTGAAAACATGAGATGGCTCAGCTGACTGATTTTAGAAATTCTGTCCTTGGCCACCAAGCAGAGTTTTTTCATATTTTAAAGATAACTAGCTCACTGGAGGATTGAGCTGGGACCTGTGTGGTAATGCACAGGCACTACATTGCCTCTGTGTTCCATCCCCCAAGTCAGAGACTGCTAACTGGGACATTAGCGCTCAAGTGGGCTTTTACAGAGAGTAAGAATTCTTAATATGGGATTTCTGGAATTCTCGATATTCGATTACATTGTGTGTCCATGAAACTCCTGAAAATACAGGGGAAATTACGTGCTGAGATATATGTGTGTTTTTTTCTGTACAGGAAGTCTAAAGGGGTCACTGATTCTCAAAGAGCTCTGTGGTCCACAGAACGGGTTAGGAAACTATTGGAGTAGGACTAGATCGTCTTGATTTCCTAAAAGCCTCACGTTTTATACTTCTTGAATGTTGACTCTGCAACAGTAAGTGCCAATGCACAGTTCTCCTTGGCCTCAGTTAAGAAGATGGCCCAGCAAGGCCTGTGGTGTGGCAGATGCTCCTGGAGAAAAGGGAAGTACACTCAGTGTGTGTTGACCAGTTTTGTTTGGGGTGTACTCAAAGGGAAAGATCTCTGACCGACTTCTCCATTCATGGAGAGAAATGGAGCAGTGTTTTTCATAAAAGAAGAAGCAGTGACTGGGACAGAAATTCTGTTCCCTGGTGGAAGTAGGTAAAGGTCTCTAGCCGTCTTTATTTGTCAGTGAGATCTCTTCGTGCTTTGACAATGGTTCAGTGCCAGGATGGGGCATAGTAGGCCCATCTTGCCTGTTTTTCTCCTTCCCAGTTATGGCACAGCCCTGACACATAATAGAGATTTACTTAATATCTTTGGAGTGAAAAAATTAAATAAGCAGAAAGGTAAATTTCTGGGAAAACTTCTCCATTGGAGAGTTCAGATAGAGCTCTGTACCTTCACTTGTTGGGGAACTCAAAAATACTCTTAAGCTCCTGTTCCTAGTCTTGTCCAGCTCTTAGTTTCTCAGCATCTTCTTCCAGTTCAGGCCCTGGAAGTCTGTTACTCTCCTGTCTCCTTTCTCCTTTCTGCTGGATGAATCAATAGAGACCTGCCTGAAAATGGCCTTCTCCAGGTGATGACTAAACTGCTACTGTGTTGCATCCGAGAGATGTTGGTCACCAAGGATGCAGGCAGCCTGTTTGTTATAGTGTTCAGGCTGCATCTAGACAGGATTGGGAAGCATTCCTTTTCTACTGGAGATTTGAAAGGGAGATCATTTTGCAGAATTCCAGGCAGTGGCTTTTAAACAAGCTGAAAAATTAATCTTAAGTGTTTTTAATTCATGAAATTCTAGAGGCAAGAGGTTTCAGAACACATTTAAATCAGGTCAGTGATTGCCCCACAAAAGGTTTTTTTTTTTTTTCCAAAAGTAATTCTTATCCTAAAAAAGTCTTTAAACAAGGATATATATATAAGAACAACTATTGCAACAGTGTTTGTGAGAGACTTTTTCCATGAATTGGGGAATAGCTGATTATTGTGGTATTGTAAACACACTGGAACAGTTAAAAAAAAATTAGGTGGTTTCATCATTGAGTTGTCTTGCTAGTTCAACAGATACTAAGTGCTTACCTTGTGCCAGGTTCTCTGATGCTGGGATCACAGAGACCAAATAGACACATCCCTGACTCCATGAAATTTGTGACTGATCTGATAGGAAGGAGGATTTCATTCATTCATGCAGCGAACATGTTTTGGCACCTACTTTGTGCCAGACAGTGTTTTAGTTCCTAGAAATATAGCAGTGAAAGAAATAGACAAAATCCCTAGTTTCACAGAGCTTGTGTTACTTGTCAAAGGAGAAATATATGTTGCTAATAAAAAGAAAAAGGTTCTAGAATAGTTAGTTCTATTTTTTTCCTTTACTGTAAAATATTCCAGAAGCATATTCCAAAGTTAATATGGTTATCCCACAGGGGCAAATAGTCAAGAGTTTCACTTTTTCCTTTTATGTGCTTCTATAACTGTTTGAATAATTTTCTCCATTTTTTTGTAATAAAAAATTTGATTTAAGTATGATCGCAGTGTTTTCCTGTCCACCCTCCTCCTTATAGAAAGAAATGAAGACTTTGGATAAGTTCAGGGTCACAGCCAGCAGTAGTGTGTAGCATCACTCTAGATGTGTCAAGAGTGGTTCCAGCAGGGATTGGGTCCCCGGTTTTCAGGGTAGGATCAACTCTGTATCAGTGATTTGTAATTAAAAAGATGGCAGAAAGATAACAAGCTATCATGGAACCCCCAAAGGGTCTGGGTGATGACAAGTGGTAACTTAATTAAAAACAACATAAAAAGATTGAATGTGTGGTTTTTCTCTTAGAAGTGCCTTTGAAATTTTTCTCCCAGATCTCTTCCATAGACACCCACAGGGCCCCAAGAGGTTCCCTGATCTTTTCAGACTGAAAATTTAAGATATTGCCATGCTTTATCTGCCTATCACTTTTAGTGTTAGAATTCCCAAGGCAGAAATTCCAAGTGGTTTGACTTGTCATTGATTTATTTGGGAACATCCCCTTATGCTTATTTCCATTTAAATTTAATTTTCACTTAAGTTTGAGTTTTTTTTTAATCGAATGCAAATTAATTTTGTCTCCAGATTTCTACTGAGAAAGTATTTACAGAGGTAAGTAGAAATGCCCTAGATCTGTAATTTAAAGATTTTTGTCATTCTTTTCTGGAATTCAGCTGGAAATAGGGGAAAAGGGGAGAGGGAGCTGGGACACTTTTTTGGAGTGTTCTCAAGCTTAAGGGGAGCTCAGATTTTAACCAGTTTTCAGTGGAAAAGCTGTGCAGTAGAGAATGAGTCAGAAATGTGCCTTTCAAGATTCTAGATCCTCTACATCTTTTTTCAGTTGTATTGCCTGTAATTATAAAGGTCATTCATTTACATAGTAGCAGTTTTTTTTTTTTTTTTGTAATTCTTAGTCAAGCTCCTTCTGCTTATGTGACTCTTTTTCCAGAGAAAGTAGTGATGTTTAAAAAAATTATTTAAGCCATGCAGGTGTGGTTGTGGTGGTAGAATGTCTGTTTAAATACCCACATTATTTTTAATATAATTGTTTTGTGGGTGGGTCACCTTTGGAAAATACTTTGTTAGAGCTTTATAGTCTATACTTAACAACATGCCTCATGATAATCTGACATGTTGTCCTTTGTAATTTCTACATTTCATACCTTTTAAACCTACTTCATGTAAAATAAAAGTATTTTACACTCCAGTGCAGTGTTTAAATTTATCTTCATTTGGCCTGTTCTGAAATAACCATATATCTATCAGTTCAGTTCAGTTCAGTCGCTCAGTCGTGTCCGACTCTTTGCGACCCCATGAATCACAGCACGCCAGGCCTTCCTGTCCATCATCCACTCCCAGAGTTTACTCAAACCCATGTCCGTCGAGTTGGTGATGCCATCCAACCATCTCATCTTCTGTCGTCCCCGCTCCTCCTGACCCCAATCGGTCCTAGCATCAGGGTCTTTTCCAATGAGTCAGGTCTTTGCATGAGATGGCCAAAGTATTGGAGTTTCAGCTTCAGCATAAGTCCTTCCAATGAACACCCAGGACTGATCTTTAGGATGGACTGGTCGGATCTCCTTGCAGTCCAAGGGACTCTCAAGAGTCTTCTCCAACAAGACAGTTCAAAAGAATCAATTCTTCGGTGCTCAGCTTTCTTCACAGTCCAGCTCTCACATCCGTACATGACCACTGGAGAAACCATAGCCTTGACTAGATGGACCTTTGTTGGCAAAGTAATGTCTCTGCTTTTTAATATGCTATCTAGTTTGGTCATAACTTTCCTTCCAAGGAGTAAGCATCTTTTAATTTCATGGCTGCAATCACCATCTGCAGTGATTTTGGAGCTCCAAAAAATAAAAGTCAGCCACTGTTTCCACTGTTTCTGCATCTGTTTCCCATGAAGTGGTGGGACCAGATGCCATGATCTTCGTTTTCTGAATGTTGAGCTTTAAGCCAACTTTTTCACTCTCCTCTTTCACTTTCATCAAGAGGCTTTTTAGTTCCTCTTCACTTTCTGCCATAAGGGTGGTGTCATCTGCATAACTGAGGTTATTGATATTTTTCCCAGCAATCTTGATTCCAGCTTGTGCTTCTTCCAACCCAGCGTTTCTCCTGATGTACTCTGCATATAAGTTAAATAAGCAGGGTGACAATATACAGCCTTGACATACTCCTTTTCTTATTGGAACCAGTCTGTTGTTCCATGTCCAGTTCTAACTGTTGCTTCCTGACCTGCTTATAGGTTTCTCAAGAGGTAGGTCAGGTGGTCTGGTATTCCTATCTCTTTCAGAATTTTCCACAGTTTATTGTCATCCACAGAGTCAAAGGCTTTGGCATAGTCAATAAGGCAGAAATAGATGTTTTTCTGGAACTCTCTTGCTTTTTCAATGATCCAGCAGATGTTGGCAATTTGATCTCTGGTTCCTCTGCCCTTTCTAAAACCAGCTTGAATGTCTGGAAGTTCACAGTTCACATATTGCTGAAGCCTGGCTTGAAGAATTTTGAGTTATGACTTTACTAGCTTGTGAGATAAGTGCAATTGTGTGGTAGTTTGAGCATTCTTTGGCATTGCCTTTCTTTGGGATTGGAATGAAAACTATATCAAATCTGTTTTAAATTTTGTTATCCAGTTTTACCTGCCATTCCTACTCATTTGAATGCTGAGTTTAGTTCTTGTTCTGGAAACCTTTTAAGTAAAAAGTAAGACCTGTATAAATATAGGTGACGGTTGTTATGCTAATAATATTGATTTTTGATTCATTTCTTTTTATCTCAAAGTTCACGATGAGATCTTCGCAAAAGTCTCTTGACCTTAGTGTAGGTTTAGTCCGAGGGCTGAAGC